TATTTTTGCCCACTTTTTTTTCATCCGCTGCACATCCATTATGGTCCTTGACTCCTAATTATTTGTTCAATCGAATGACTAAAAACTGTATGAGTGTAGTATACGAGATGAAAAACTGTGTACAGAAATCATTTCCACATCACAACTCATTATAAATTTATTGTTAATTTGGTCCATAATAAGTAGATAACAAAACCAGAAACACTAAAAAGGATTATACGTTAAATTGAAGCCCCAATTAATCCTCCTAACTTTTATAACAAAACGAAAAGAAAACAAATCAATATATAAACATATATATATATATATATATATTCATGCAAATTCCGGCCAAAAGAAATAATTAAGAGCCCGCCAACCTTATAAAACGTGAGATTTGTCTTCTTTTCTGCCTTGTGATGAACATGGTTTTCCCATTGCTGTTGCAGAAAATCTATTCCTTCGAATCTCAACTGATAAGTTCAAAGGAAACAACGGCAGTTAGTTACTATCTATGGGTAGACTTACATTATAAGCTCACGTGTTGACACAACACGTGTGCTTTTGATTGCAACTTTCTCGTTAGACCAACGACACGTACTTGGTAAGACAGAAAAAACCGAATCAAATTACATTTTCGGCCACTTCTAAAGCATTAAATGCATGCCACCACCATGCCACGCTTACCCTTTCGTTTTTATTTTTTTGAAAATTTGAAAACTTGTTTTATAATTACTTTTATTTTTCTGAAAATTGAAAATCAAAAGTAAGTATCAAATAAGATGAAAATAAAAATAAAAACTTGTAATAAAATTGTTATCAAACAAACTCTTAATATATCTAAAAGATTGATATGTTTAATTGTATGTATGTACGTATGTCTCTATGTATCTATATAGGAATCCTTTAACAAGAGGGATCCCTATTTTTTTTTTTTTTAAATAGGAACATTCTCTTAACCGTTGGATTTTACTTTAATGAAATTGTGTGGTTGAGATTGTGTGGCATGTGATTTAATCTCAACCACACAATTTCATTAAAACCAATCAACGGTCAAGAAAGTGTCCTCATTTAAAAAAAAAAAATGGAGATCTCTAAAGTGCCTATATGTGTGTCTATATATATATATATATATATATATATATTTGTAATCCTAATTAAGCGTGCATTCCATGAAAAGTAGAAGCAATTGATCAAGGTGATTGATTACTATCTTGAAGAGTTCCCATGCAATGTTTACTTGATTCAAGGTCATCAATGGCTTAATTTATATAATTTCCTGTACAGTCCTAATATCAGTAACTAATTGGTCTATTCTCGTGTTGTATAACAAGTGAATCGCGTGTCAGAATCAACAACACGTAGTTAAACTGTTAAAGAGGCATGTTGAGCATGCATCGGCTTTAAAGATGAAATTTCGTGTTAATATATAATAGTTTGAGTCTCTCAAGTCTCAACTAATAATCAAATGACTGATTTTCAAGTTAAATGTGTACGATTCGATGGCTACATTTACATGTATGCTAAATTTAGAAGCTATATATCACTGAAAGCAGTTACATTAATAAAAATGCAACATTATTTAGATTGTAGAGGCTATTTTCTATTTAACTCCAGAGTACAAATACTTTTAAGTTTTCAACTGTTAAATCTTTCAAAAAAAAAAAACACGTACTATATGATCTAATGGTTAGTGAACTCCTTCCAACCGGAATGGGATACAATATAGCAAAGCGGTAGACAATTGCATGGAGTTGATAAATTAAATTTGCTTCATTTTTTAATCTAGATATAGCACTTAGGTTCACGAGCAATGGAAATGTTAGTCAGATCCCCTTTGGGACACGTGTTGGTCGGATACGGTCAGATGAGTAGTCATCACTATGTCGTCATTTGACACTTGGCAAATCTCCACGTCACTAGCCTCCCCCAACTTGCTTTGGGTTTAGGGTTTAGCAATGGATTGAACATGTTCACGTGCATGCATGAACTCCCATGAACAGCACGTTGGCCCGGCCGCCATAGATCTCATATCAAGCAAATTGTGATTCGTGAGGGAGAATTTTAGTGGATTTTGGTGAACAATTAATTCATATATAGTTATTTAATTAGAAAATTAGATTTTAATCCTTAAATAAGATGAAGTTCAGAAAAATATCTTATACAAGATTAAAAATTGATTTTAGTCCATAGACTTTCTTTAATGCCAGTATATGTATTAATGTCTTTTTTTTTATTTACAATTTTATGGTGTTCATAAATAAAATTTTAAGATTATATTATAAATTTTAATTCTCATTATAGTAAGTATCTTATAAGAAAATATTTTCGTAAAGATTTTTCGGTACACTTATATTTTTGCATATTGTCTTATGCACCATTAATTCTTTGTAATATATTTAGGTACGAACATTTCGATACACTAGTTTAGTATAATATGTTTAGGTATGAACATTTCAGTACATTAGTTTAGTATAATACATTTAGATATGGACATTCGGTACACTAGTTTAGTATAATATAATTAGGTACATACATTTTGGTACATTGGTTTAGTATCATATATTTAGGTACGGACATTTCGGTACACTAGTTTAGTATCATATATTTAGGTACGGAATTTTCAATACACTTATGTTTTTGCATATTTTCTTATGTGCCACTAATTGTAACATCTCACATCGCCCAGGGGAGTTTAAATGTATATTCCCATCCCTACTTAGCACGAGGCCTTTTGGGAGCTCATTGGCTTCGGGTTCCGTAGGAACTCCGAAGTTAAGCGAGAAGACGGCTAGAGCAATCCCATGATGGGTGACCCGCTGGGAAGTTGCTCGTGAGTTCCCAAAAACAAAACCGTGAGGGAATGGTAAGCCCAAAGCGGACAATATCGTGCTACGGTGGTGGAACGGGCCCGGGAAGTGATCCGCCCCGGGCCGGGATGTGACAAAATGGTATCAGAGCCTATCCCTGGGCGGAAATGTGCCGACGAGGACGTCGGGCCCCTAAGGGGGGTGGATTGTAACATCCCACATCGCCCAGGGGAGTTTAAATGTATATTCCCATCCCTACCTAGCATGAGGCCTTTTGGGAGCTCATTGGCTTCGGGTTCCGTAGGAACTCCGAAGTTAAGCGAAAAGACGGCTAGAGCAATCCCATGATGGGTAACCCACTGGGAAGTTGCTCGTGAGTTCCCAAAAACAAAACCGTGAGGGAATGGTAAGCCCAAAGCGGACAATATCGTGCTACGGTGGTGGAGCGGGCTTGGGAAGTGATCCGCCCCGGGCCGGGATGTGACACTAATTCATTACAATGTATTTAGGTACTACAATATATTAAGGTATGGATATTTTGGTACACTAATTTAGTAAAATATATTACGATACAGACGTTTAGGTACACTAATTTAGTAAAATATATTATGATACAGACGTTTAGGTACACTAATTAGAAGAAGTTAGATAAAATTAATGAATTAAATGTGTATAATAATAAATTTAAAATTTAATGTAATGACATTAAATAAGATATCTTTTAAATATTAAAATAAAAATATAATATAAATTTGAATTAAGTACACATTAAAGAACTAAAATTAATATCCAATCTAACACCAGGTTTTTATTAAATTTTAATATTCTTTAAAGATTAAAGTTCAAAAATTAAACCACACGCACTAATTTTTCTCATCAATCCTATGTTCACTATAAATCGAGTTAAATTTGCTTAAGATCAGTGGTTGATCCATGAAGTTTTCTTTCAAGGGCAAGATGTCCGAACGTAACTTTGGCTTATTTTTCTTGGCTACCGACTCACCCTCAATATTTTGAAAGAGTAATGCTAGAAGATTTAGATTTTAAATTAAATTTGTAAATCAAATGATGTGTCATCAATAGAAAATAAATACATTAATCAACACTTAATAATTCAATCACCAACAACCACATCATTTAGTTTGCAAATTTGATTTAAAAAAATTTGATCCCCTAACATTATCCATTTTTAAAATCATTTTATCAAGCATCTTACCCACATATAGCCATGCTCCAGAAAAAAATATCACGAGAATATTGTACTATTTCGTTCGGGTGGGGGGCAATTGCATGCATCGACTTTTATGTGAATCCGTCATTGTTTTAACACATACTAAAGTATTGTAAAAAATAAGTGGAGATTCAGAATGTGTCCATATTTGAATATAATAGACTGATAAATTACTCCATCTTATTGCATAAACTTTTTAGTTTTCTTCATGACATTAGTTGGGGCATATTTTAGTGATTCATACAAATAAGGACATTAGTGGTTTGTTTTTAATTAGTAACTCTCTAAATAGAGTAATTGGGACATTATTAGTTGAGTTTAAGATGGTAAAATTGGTAATGTCTGTGTGTTCTTGCTTATATATATGCAGGTTTGCTTTTGCTCTGGTCAATAGGAAGATAGATACTGTCTCCTTTAGCATCCCCATTTTAGGGAGATTTGCATGAAAAATTATGTGATCAGATATTCATCAATTTTCAGAATTCTTCAATTAGTGGGAAATCTGGTGGGGAACGAAAAATAATAATATAGTGTGAAAAAAAAAAAAGAGATATTGGTTGGGAAACAGAAAATATTTAGGTGGAGAAACTTTTTAATGTGTTGGGAAAACATACTGGTACGTCAAGTGTCACAATACAATTTGTTGAAATTTTTTTTTGTAAGTTTCTAACCAATTGTATTATTGCACTTGCTGTAGTGAATCGTGTTTCGGACACATTATGCAAAGAGATGAGAGAGAGAAAAGGCGCCAAAGTAAGTGTTTGGGAACTTGAACTATGGAACTTGTCAAATCACAGCTCTATTCTATTTCTATACAAAGGCTTTTGCAGCTAAGCTCTCACTGGCTTATGGGATCTGTGTACACAAAAATTACCTTATCTCTATAAGCCCATTTTTATCCACACCCTTTCTCTAAGCTCTTTTAATCTGCAAACCTGGCTTGCTTCTAATCACCCAAATAGAAGAAGAAACTTCAACAAATGAAGGTAAGATACTTGTGTTTTTGTAAAATATACTAACAGTTGCATGTATTCAGAATACCGACATAGTAACATATCGCATGTAAATAAGTTTCTCTCGTAATTTAGAAGTATTTTGAATTGTTTGATTGCAGATATTTGATTGGATGCAAAGCAAGCTCACTGGGAAACCCCGGCTTGAAAAACCAAGCTTAAAAGTCTTTGATGGTAATTAATTTTTAATTCATTTGTATTTGCTAATTATTCTTGGATCAATATATTTAATTTGTTCTTTTTATTCTTTTATAGACGAGAAGGTGAAACAAAAACCTTCCAAAGAAGAAGCAAATGAATGGCCTCACGGGCTGCTGGCAATTGGAACATTAGGAAATGGTGACTTGAAACAAGATCAACAAACCAATCCACCACCCTCCCCCAACGACCACCTCCATGATTTCACACCAGAGGAAGCTACACACATTCTGAACGAGTTGAGCTCGTACTGGAACCAATCAAACTCAGCCGCATTACTAGAACTTGAAAAAGCTCCTAACAAGTTTCTAAGCAAGCAGTCGAGCTTGAAACCTGAGAGAACAAGTACTGACAATGTAGATTGTGACGAGCTGCCGAAAGAAAATATGAGTCGATTCCAACGGAGCTCGAGTGTCGTTCTCAGCCGTGGGAAAGATGTTTGTTTGGATAACATAAACTCCACCATTGGGAAGAAATCACTCTCTTTTCTCCTCAAGAAAGTGTTTGTTTGTAGCAGTGGGTTTGCACCAGCTGCTGCTGCTAGTGGTCTAAGAGATCCAGTCCGAGAGTCAAGAATGGAGAAGGTAAATCTATTATACAACATATATTTGGCCCTGTAATTTTAACATATAAAGTTTAACTTTCATGCCTGTATTGCATCATATACGGACATCTTTGGCAACGTGCGTTAATTTCTGGTACGGCACGTGAGAGGGTAAGTATGAGAAGTTGAAACATATCCTCATACAATTTGCCTACTATAGGGACAAAATTTGTTGCAATTGAAAATACAAGGAACAAAAGTGAATCTTAATGAAATGAGAGGGCATCAAATTGGTCATCTGGTCATGTAGAATATAGTTTCCAAATGATATATTTCAAGCGAAATATATATGTCAACTTCCGTTAATTTTTTGTACTAAATCTCTACGTTCACACCACATGATATCAGAGAGTAAATTTGATGGATTACATAGCAAAAAATTAACAAAAGTTGGAAAATGTCCTTAAATTATTACGATTTGCAATACTTCATAACAAGATTTATCTCTTCTTTCTTTTTTTTTCTTTGTTTTTTTTATCCTTTTTAACGTATTTTTTGTTTTGGGTCAATACTAGATACTGAGGGCAATACTTCACAAGAAGATATACCCCCAAAGTTCAAGTACTTCAACAATGTCCATGAAAAAGTACTTGGAGAACAGCAACCCCAAGTCTGCTAAAGCTAATGAGGGGAGTAAATGGGACAAGACAGATTCTGAATGTAAGCACTTAAACATGATTAACACATGGATTAAGAGTCTGTTTATCCAAAGACACATATGCTTTGGAAATAACTTTATTCACACTATTTTTTTTCCTGGTTGCAGATATCGTTCTAGAGATATAAGTTTACTGGATCACTTCTACCACTTTGTTGCAGCTTCAAACAATACAGGGTAAGTTTTTAACGTCTCTTAAAAATTTTGATTTGTTACTTGACTTTCCTCTTGTTATGACTTGCTACAATGTCATTTTTATCTAACGGTTATATAATTATGTGAATGCATGTATTTAATCATCATTTAACGTCAAGATTTGTATTGTATATGTATAAGTGTTACAGCTAAATTCTTTGTTGTTATGCTGAATTTAAATTTAATGTGCAGATTTCTGTCAATTGCCGCAAAGTTGATCGGTTGAGCGCTACAGTTGGCTTTGTGGAATGTGAAGTGTGACATTTTTGGCCTATGTTTGATTAGAACATAATCAGGAGAAAAATAACAAAAAAAGGAGACTATCACCTTTCCTTTTTTTTTTTTTGCACGGCAGATATTGCTAAAGTGGAGACTCTTTGAGCTCTTACTATTGCTGTGTTGCGTTGCATTTGATATTTTAATAAAATTATGATGTTTTTCTTTACTCCAAATAAATAGTTTTATTGAAATAAGGCAATAAAAAAGCAGTAATAAGATAATACGAGACCAATACGTGAAAACTTTTTCTTAGTCCGGATCAACAATATAATACCACAAAATGATTAGAGAAATGTCAAGCAACTTTTTCAAAAGCGGAACTCTCTATACCTCTCTGTCAACTTAACATTAATTTTTCGTACCAAAATTATAAAATATTGTGCTAAAAACCACATTATTATGAAACATTATGCTAAAAACCACATTATTATGAAACATTATACTAAAAACATGAAGTGGCAAATAGTTTATGAAGAGTTATACTTTTGAGAAAGTGTACATTTCATTTCTCTAACGATTATGATGGTGCTTACATTAAACTTCTCCATCTCCATGATTGGACATAATTAAACGAGATCAAAAGCATTTTGTAAATAAGCAAAAATAAATAAATAAATAAATAAAATTCTAAACTCAAATTATATCGAGGGAAAGAGGGATCAAATCTGAAAACACAGATAAATGATCTTAATAACTTTAGTTCCTGGTGAATAAGCAAAAGTCTTTAAAGTTTTCATTCAAAGGAACCTTTGTTTTTCTTCTGTTTGAAAACCTTATTTTAAGGTTTAACATTATTTCTCAACCTTTTCTAAATTAAAAAAAAAAACACATTATTCTCCAATGGCTTTATATATGATGATGAAATGATTACGTATGAGGGAACGTATAATTAATCAGATCGTTTTCTATGATACAAAATTAATCTAATCCGCTCCATAAAACACGTATAATTAATCAAGGATTTCCCTCTTAAGCCAGGTATTAATCCCAATTCATTGTATACGGTTAAATATAATTATTATTTATCAACAGATAATTATTTCAATAACTAAAAAAAAAAAAGTAAATAACAAATAATTGTAACATATTGTATTATTATTTATCAACAGATAATTATTTCAATAACTAAAAAAAAAAAAAGTAAATAACAAATAATTGTAACATATTGTATTATTATTTATCAACAGATAATTATTTCAATAACTAAAAAAAAAAAAGTAAATAACAAATAATTGTAACATATTGTCAGAACGAGAGAGAGAGAGAACCAATAAAAGATGTCTTCTTTTCGGCCGAGCCGATGACTTTAATGGTTCAAACCCAACTCACAATCTTCATCTTTGATGGGTATTGTTGGAAATTTGGAAATAGAGTTGGTGGAGGAAGTGTGTGATTGAAAGTTTAGGGCTTTGGGGATTTTGGGGATTTTTATTTTTTTGGTGGGAAGAAGCCAATGCCATTGGAGAAGCTTTAAGGGTTCTTTTGGTTGCAGTTTCAAGTTACCAATTTCCCAGTAGGATTAAGAGGAGGAGGAATACTTCTTACTTCATGTCGTGGGCTGGGCCAGAAGATACTTTCCTTTCCACTTCTCTTGCTACGTATCTTGACAGTATACTCTCTCTCTAGATCTAATTTGAAGTGATTGAAAATTGGGTTTTGTGAATTTTTTTTTGTGTTGTATGTTTTAGCTGTGAATTGCCTTATTGAGCTCTGTTCTGGTGTTTTTCTTGTAAAATTTTGTTAGGGTTTGAAAGCAGCTGCTATACTGTTTAATTTGCAGATCCCTTATTGTATATACTGTTTTGTTGCATTTTTTGAATTAATATGAGATATAAGGAAGATAAAGAAGTGAAGCTTCAAACTTTAGGTCTTTGCACTGAGTAATTATAGTGATGTTGAATTTCTACTGCTGAATTGAAGATTTGTGTATGGGGGTGTTATCCAATTTTCCCAATTTGTTAGAATCGAAAGCGTATATTTGCTTCATAAGCAAAAGTATAAATGGTAGAAATATTTTCTCAAGGTAGAAGGTGATGATGAAGCAAGAGTTTTGAATAAGAAATGAGAACCGTTCATTCGGGCTATTAGAACTGCTCGCAGTTTCACTTTGTGCATTCCCGTTGGTGAATAGTTTGAGAAAATGGAAAGCTATGTTCGTAATGCCTCAATATTCAATCCGGTAATAAGTATGACTCGGATGCTGATAGTGCTTTAAGGTCACTGCAATCTCTACGTGATTGTAGGGCTTGGTAATATGTGGGATTTATCAGTGAAATAATTGTCATTAGAGATTGATTCATTGCAAAGTACTTCGCTTATTATGATTTTTTATTTATTTTTCAGAAAAGCTTCTTGTCTTGCTGCGAGATGGACGAAAGCTGTTGGGATTGCTACGGTCTTTTGATCAGTTTGGTAATACTGATCTGTTACTCCACGTGACTTACTGAGTTATCATTATCTTCACTCTTATTATTTCTATTGAAACCATAGCTAATGATGGTAGTGGTCTTTCATCTGCACAGCTAATGTTGTTCTTGAAGGCGCATGTGAAAGAGTAATTGTGGGTGACCTTTATTGTGACATCCCATTAGGTCTATATGTAATCCGTGGGGAGAATGTCGTCTTAATTGGAGAGCTGGTATATTGCATTCTCTGTCAATCCTGTGAGACTTGACTACTGTTGATATCTTTTACTCCACTATCAGTTCATTTATTAAATTCTTGTTATCGATTTTATAGGAATTGGATAAGGAGGAGCTTCCCCCTCATATGACTTTGGTACCAGAAGCAGAGATAAAAAGGGTAAGTCTGTATGTTTATTGGTTAAGACTTCAATCGAAAATTGCAATCTGCAATGCTTAGGGTGATGGCATTAGGTCATATTAAGAAAACCCTGATTTTGTGAATGCATATGTGCCATAGATAAATACTTTGCACGTAATTCTACCTTGTCCTGCCACGGTTAACAAACGAGCATCGTTATGCGCTGCTATTTTGAATGGGAATACATTCACTTTGGTTCTTCCTAGATGTTATGGCTGGATGTTGCAACCTTTCAGTTATATCCTTTCCTTTTAAGATTACGGTATAAATAGCAATCTTTGTAATGTATTATTCAGGTGGTTGGGTTGGATTATTCCTTGCTATTATTGCCGTTTGCACTTTACAATAATTCAAGTACATTTCTCTTCTGTTCAGGCTCAGAAAGCAGAGAGGGATGCGACAGATTTAAAAGGCTCCATGAGAAAAAGAATGGAGTTCCTCGATTTTGATTAACTTGCCCACCCATTTTATCGGGGGTTCAGGCCATGTCCGCGAATTTTAGTGCGACAGTGACCCGATGTTTTCACCTATATAGGAGCGCAAACAAGAAGAGAAGTCATATCAGTTCTGAGGACTTATTGAGTGGAAGTTGTGTTCTGGGTCTATTAAACGTGTGGCAATGTCGATGATCTTCCCCTGTTTCATTTGGATTTGATTGATACGTGCAAGCATGGTTTCGGGTTCTGCAGAACTGATTCGGGTTTTAGATTCGCAGTTGTTTCTGTGTTGAACATAATTTGTCTTGATTTTCCATGGGTTGTTAACCGTTGTGGAGGTTCACATTTCATGGCACATTCGGTGTTATTACATTTGTAAGATATTCATGTTCAAATCCATATTATATTTATATAAGATCTGTATGATCAAGCCAAATCAATGGATCATCAAATCTGAACTCTTAACATATAAGTATGTGACACGATGTTTGAACAATCCTCGGTCGCTTCGGATCCATAAACACGTAAAAACTCAGAATGAACATTGAGCTAATACAATCTTAACACTACAGCAGCAAGTGCTTATGCTTCTTCAGGGAAAGTAAGCAGCGTTATGAGAGCCTCGTAACCAGGAAAAAGAGGAAGAGGATCGCAGCGTTTTGCCAACTTGAAATCCTGGAACTGAAAGGCAGGTGCGCAAGTACATCCCACAAGAGAGCAGTGAGTCTCGGCATCCCTTGGAGCAGCTTCGAGCAATGCCCCTTCTGGTGAAATGCTGTAGTCCTTGGAAGAAGGCTATTCCAGTGGCAGTATTCAAGAAACATACGTCAGAATTACTTTAGCTATGTATCGGTCCACACATTCCTGGAAGTGGAACGCTTACAAGTATGGTCAATCCTAATCTCTTATGATCTCAATCCCTTAAGCACGTGTTAAACAAGTGAACGGCTCTAACAAGCTTACATTCTCCTACTAGAGCCAACACTTGTTTATCAAAGTACCACCTAATCAGAAATCATGCTTGAATCGCCACGAGAATAAGATTAACAAAACCCCGATAACAAGTTTCTGTCGTGAAACCATTAAACACATGAAACTCCATCAAGACATGAAAAAATAATACGGGATGCAAATACGTGGTCCTCCTTCAAGACCAGTAAACTAGTCCACTTTATTGTCTCGTACCGAGACCCTTAAGTTGCCTTTCTGTTACGACAATTCAAACAAATTGTCATCCAAGATACACTTTCATAATGTATCCGTATCATAACTATAACATTGCGATTTCTGGGAAACCTTTGCAACTAGCAAAATATAACTTTATTAGTTAAGATGATCAAAACATAAATACTTCAATGCATATTCCAAAAATATCTGAATCAACCAATGTCCAAGAACAAATGTCTTAAACATGGTCAAAACTCCCACTGTTCTGCAGCATCAAAAACTTCAGCACTCTCATCTTCCTATCTATACTGATATGATTAATATGGTTTCATGGTGATAAGGGTTATCACTTATCAGTTTGATAGTTTGATAAAGATTACATGATGGTAAGTCTTCTTATCAAACACCACCATTTAGGATAAATAATAGGGTCCCCTGCCCTCACACTAATTACGCACATAAGATATCAAGCCCTGTTGATTGTAGCAGTGCATTGGGTCTGTGTTGAGAGTAGGAAAACCCTTAGTTCATTGCAGCAATGGCGTCACAAGATTAGTAGTTAATTTGGTATCGTGATTCACTTATTCTGCACTTATTTATCTTACATTAACATATAAGTATGTGACACGATGTTCAAACATTCGGTCGCTTCGAATCCATAAACATGAAAAAACTCAGAATGAACATTGAGCTAATACGATCATAACATTACAGCAGCAAATACCTATGCTTCTTCAGGGAAAGTAAGCAGCGTTATGAGAGCCTCGTAACCAGGAAAAAGGGGAAGAAGATCGGAGCGTTTTGCCAACTCGAAATCCTGGAACTGAAAGGCAGGTGCACAAGTACATCCCACGAGAGAGTAGTGAGTCTCGGCATCCCTTGGAGCAGCTTTGAGCAATGCCCCTTCTGGTGAAATGCTGTAGTCCTTTGTTGGGAAGGAACCAAACCACACATTTGGAGGCACTGTGTACTGGGGTTGCTGATCCTCTCCCAAATTGGGTCCGAGGCAGGTTAACTTGACTTTCCCGTCTTCCCCCAACTCCACAACCTGATAGCAAATATAGCGGTGTTAAAAGAGCGGAAATTTTACATTATTTATCTGTTTCTCTATAAACGTTTAAATGCTTCCCACAATTACCAAAGGAAAACATAGCGTGGAAATCGCATGAGAAATCTCTACCCGGAGTTCATAGTGAAATGAATCACTTTGAGTGCAAGAGTCAGATCAGGCCCGATCTAAGATCACAGTTTAACTAATCACTTTGAGTGCAGATGTAAGATTATCTATCCTAATGCAAAAGCCGAGGCCGAATATCAACCAATTTAGCTGAAAACCTACACGATTCCGAGCATAGGCAAAACGTCTGTCCTAATATGTTGGTACGGTAAGATGGTTATGCATCATATGAATATCTTGAAATGACTACAGAAATGACATGTGAATGCAGATGATTCAATCTTTTAGTGAGCCGGGATTCGAAGTGTACCGTAATGGGTTCTCCGACATAAAAATGCCAGGTTTCTGCCATTGGTATACGATGAAGGCGAGATACACTCCCAGACGGCAGCAAGAAGTAGATAGATGAACTCACAGGGCGCTCAACCTTGTCTGCAGATAAACTACACTTGTGTTAGTAAAAGAAAATGGTACAAATAATACAACCACAATTCCCATGCATTACAATTGGCCTCAATCCTATTTCAAAACTCAATTGGGCTAAAATGATTCTCACATCCCACGTATGAATGCGGATATGTTGTCGATACATTGTAGATAATAATACCATTGACACTATCGATACTTCAACTTTACAATTGTCGGCAAGCGGTCAATATGATTAAAAGTGCAGTTAACACAGAGGAGAAGGCAAATGGCACTTTATCGCAGCGGCGAAAAGCAATCATGCTTATGCACCATAGTGCGGGTACAATCTTCAAAGATCTCCCTCTTCTCTAACAACCAACAATTTAACCCACTAAACGCTATCGTTTCGTTTTAAAAAAAAAACACAGGAGCCTTAAATTCCAATAACAAAGAATCCAATTTCATACAACACAACACATTAATCAATACAAACCAATCAATTTCACTACTTACGAGCTTCCAAATATTTTCCAAAAATTATAAATCGAAGATCCATATGCAGATAATAACAAAACCCCAATACATGAACAAAAATCAAATATCCAAGATTCAAATCATTTGTAAAACATGAAAAATTACAGGAATGAATGAATGAGAAGCACAAGCAACAAAATCTTACAGTCTGGGGGAAGCTGACACAAAGGCAGGGCAATGGAAGTGTCTCTGAAAGTTTCGAAATAAAAGCCACCTTCAGGGTGGGGATTCAGTTTCAGTTTAGCTACAATCTCTGATGCAGTTCCCATGTTGCTTCTTGGGATCTCTAAACTCTTCGTCTTCCTCTGACAACAGCCACTGTATTCGATTGTGATCTGTGTTTGGTACCTTTGACATGTAGTAGGTTTTGGCGATTTGACAAAGCGACATATAAAAATAGTTTAAGGGCGCTACTTTCTTTGGTCAGACATGGCAGCCTAAACCCAACAACGGCAGATCCTGTCGATCCATATGGGATAAGTGGGTTTGGGCTTTCATTGGAGTAGACTTTTTGAGCAACTCTACTAAAGCTCTTAGGTATTCACTATTTAATCCATCTAATAAATAATAATTGTTTTTAATGAATAGTAATTATCTTTGCATCTTCCTACAGTGAACAGCTTGATAATAGGTAATAAAATATTAATATAATTTTTTATTTATAATTAATATTATATTATTAATTTATCTTTTCCTTTTGGAAATCTCTTCTTATCTCTGGAAATTTCTACCGTCTTTTTTTGTTGCACTTCCGACACACAGCAGAGCAGCACACCTAAATGCCTTTCTTAATTTTTGATGCACTTCTGTAGTCCATGGCTTCACGAAACGGTGTGGTGTAGAGGGGTGCCGTGAAGCTGGATCGTTCAAGTCCTGGCTCCCTCCTTCTCAATCTCTCGGATCCGTCCTACCCCGGAGCAGCCCCGCATTGTTTGGCTCCTCAGCTTCCAAGGACGATGGAGGTCAGTTTTTGTTTCCCCGGAAATGCAAAGGGAGAGAAAGAAGATGACAACAAATCAAAAGCCAACCAAAATTACACAGTATATTATAGGTAAGCAAAAGCATCAGAGTCTTGGCTCCTCCAATTGTACTGCCGAACTAGATTCACTTGTCTTCACCGAAACAACAAATCACCACACACCCATTTATTAAACCCCCCTCTGATTCGATCTCTCTCACTCCAATTCCTTGTGGGTTTTTTCCTATTTCCCTCACAACCCCGCCAATCGATCTGCTCATGGAGAAGAATCAGTCGCCGTCGCCATGTTTCTGTTCGACTGGTTCTACAGCGTCCTCGCCTCCTTCGGGTTGTGGCAGAATGAGGGCAAGATTCTGTTTCTGGGCCTCGATAATGCCGGCAAGACAACCCTCATCCACATGCTGAAGGACGAGGTTTGACTCTCTTTCTCTCCCTCCTCGAATCGAATAGTACTCGAAAGAGTTCAAGAAATGCAGAGAAGATGATGACTGACGTCGCCCAGACGTCAGCCTTGCGTCACATGACCTTCGGGTTGGCAACTGCTGCCGAGCCTCTCCCTCGGGCTCCATCGCCAGCACACGCTGGACCTCCTCACTCGTTATTATATAATTTAAATTCTAATTTTCTAATTTTTTTATTAACATACCTTAAATATGTAATAAAATCCATCGTCTACTGATATTACATAATAACACATGAATAATAACACCGCACGACAATGTTCTAGTACATGCAAAAATTTCTTCCTCAATTGACGAATACATGGACGAAAAAAAACTAACCTACTCTAAAATATACACGTTTTTCTCTATTTCTCTTCATATGTGACTTACTGACTGTATATATGAGAAGAGAGAAAGAAACAAATCTATGCACTCCCTGACATGCAACTATATGCAAGTTCTTGTCTACGTAGACCAATTTCTCATGAACAGTGAATAATTTTGACCATAAGACTCACGTTTTCTTGGCACGTCCTTGCATTCCTTTTCGATACAAAGTGAGATTATAAGGAATAGAACACAACCTCGAGTATAGGAGAAAAACTTTACATGACGAGGGATGCAAATATGTGGGTGTAATGCATGCGTCAAATTTAATAACCGTTGCTCTTAATTATTTTGAGATAGAAGTTATTTGCATCGTCGTATTTATTTCTCTATTTTATTATTGTTCTTGGCTCATAAGTAACTTTTGATTATCGTTAGACTACCAAATTTATTCACCAAATGTTATTCGTTGTGGCAGTTTTCTTATAATTCAATCTTATTTATTTCTAAAATGTAGATTTGCTCATTGATAAAGTTAGCATAAAACATAGATGTTGGCAACGTCTCTGGCAGTTTTGAAAACCTGATAAATGACAAATAAATAAAATCATGTGATACATGTATGTTTAGTCAATCAACATGTATGAATCTGTGTTAGTATTCCTAAAAAAACGAAAATTATGATTATGGTTCCTTCTCTGTACAACTAAAAATTAAAAAAAAAAAAAAAAAAAAAGAAGAAGAAAAAAAAACCAAGAACTAAGAACCAAACCTTCCTCCAAAATAGAAATATCACTTAATTTATTCAGTATTTTTCACTAAATTCCAATTTTCCTCCCTTGTTCCAACCCAGCACTCTCTCTCCTACCCTTTTTTTAACTCACCTATATATATGGTAAGGGAAAAAAAAAATTCCTGAATTAGCACCCTTTTTTAATTTAGTATTTTTCACTCGTTTTCCATTTGCTTCTGTGGTTGCAGTAACACTCTCTGATCCCCTCATCAGCCCTTTTAATTCCTCACCGTTGTAAGAAAATCCCATTTGTATTGAAGTAAATCCATTGAAGAATATATAGCAAGCATATTAGCATATATATATTTTTATATATATGCATGCCTGCAAGCTTCTCAAGCTTGTACCTCTTCAATCCTCCTAATGGCTTCGCTTAAATCAAGCCTTTGCTCAGGCTCACTCTTAGTGCAGTCAGCTCCAACCATCAGAAGCTGCAGCATTTGATCCACTGAGTCTGTCTCACTTGCTATCTCTGGGTCTAGCAACTCCTGTTCTCTTTGATCAGCCATGGCTGATTGGACCCACTGAACAACGTCGGTTCCTCCTTTCCCGTTGCTCAGATACTGAGATGGAAACTTCCCGGTGAGGATTTCAAGGATCACAATCCCAAGGCAGTATACATCGGCTTTTGGAGATACTTGCTGGGATTCTATGTACTCTGGGGTCCTAAAAGCAAACATGGATTGTGCAGCATTGCTAGGGTTTATGAGAGGATGTAAGGCATAGTCATTGAGGACGGGCTCATAGTCTTCTTTTAGTAGAATGTTGCTGGACTTTAGGTTTCCATGGGGCAGGTCATAGGATGCAAACTCTGTGTGGATGAATCCCATTCCACATGCAATTCCTTGGACAATCTTCAGACGGGTAGGCCAGTTCAGCTCCGAATAAGAAATTCCACGATCACCTGCAAATTCAATATTGTGCATATATTTATTAGTCTGGTTAGATTTCTATGCGCTTCAGAAATTTATAGATATATACCACCAAAAAAAAAATGATATTTATATATATCCAATGGAAATTTTTGTTGCGTTTGTCTTGTGAGAAGTGCCTTGTTAAACAATCTGATATGTTATATTTTTAAACTATCTCTATGACAATCTACAATGTACTAAGAAACAGTAGAATGGTAACCTGTTCTCTAAGCAGGAAAAAAGTTTTGTTATGAATACCACTTTATAGTACTTAGTACATTGTCGATATTTGGTCAATATATAGTCTACTGATATTTGATAATATCGACCAACTTTAACGACATACCAAGGATATGCAAGAATGGTACGCAATATCTCAATGACATATCAAGTAGTGGAGAATGACTCTCTTCACCAGTCAATCGAAAAAAAAAATGATTCTAGCATATACAGAAGCCTAAAACAAGATTAATTGAACAAAACTAAGACAAATTCGTACCATGCAAAACGTATAGCAAGCTGCCCTTAGGAATGTATTCTGAGATCAACAGCTTCTCCTCTCTCCTATAATGGTAAGCCAAAGGAGTCAAGATGTTCTTGTGGCTTAATCTTCCAAACCTTCTCATTTCAGCATCAAACCCATCTCTCCCCAACCTATTCATCTCCCTCATCCTCTTCACCACCACAGAAAACCCATTAGACATCACCGCCTTATAAGCTGATCCCAACCCTCCATTCCCCAAAACCTCTGCTGCCGCCTTCATCAAATCCGGCAATCCAAATGTACCCTTTTCCTCGTTCACCATCAAAAGCTCGTTCATGCCGTTTTTCCCCTGACTCGACCCCTTTTTCGAGTCCCCGCCACCTTTTTTGCTATTGCTTTGGTTGACCTCCACGCTACGATTCGACTCATTTGTACTTCCCACGCTGCGATTTGTGGTGCTTGGAATATGAACTTCAACCACCTTCTCCTGTACATTACGATGGTTATCCACGATCTGTTCCTTGCCGAGCACGTTGAAATCGTCCTCCCGTTTTCGCCTCTTCTTCGTGAGCAGCACAAAAAGCAGGAGTAGAACCATGATACCGACAATGACGCTGATGACTATGATGATGGTTTTTGATTTTCTATCTTCCTCTTGCTTCTTTGGAGTCGAGGGCGGCGATGTTGATGGGGATTCTGGCGGAGACTTTGAAGGGGATTTTGGCGGAGGAGATGACGGTGTTGGAGGCGGCTTGCATGATGACTTGAGTGGCCCGCCACATAGTCCTTCGTTCCCTTCGAACGCCTTGGGGTCAAATTTCGACAGGGTTTCCGGGATAGGACCTTGTAACTTGTTTTTTGAAAAGTCAAGGGAGTTCAATATTCCTGGTTTTAATTTTGGTATAGGGCCAGTGAATTGGTTGCTCTCCAAATGAAGTTCTTCTAGCTTGGTCAATTGGGTCAATGACTCTGGGATTTTTCCTGTGAAATTGTTACCGTTGAGGTAAATTTTCTTCAACGACGTCAAATGGGAAAAGTAGTCTTTCGGGATTTCGCCGGAGAAGTCATTTCCCGCCAAAAACAAGGATTTCAAGACACCAAGCTTGTGGAAATCTGGAATTGGACCTGAGAATTTGTTGTTCATGAGATTAATGGTTCTGAGGGTAGGAATGTCTTTTAATGCATCAACGTCAATATTTCCGGAGAGACCCATGTTGGCGAAATGGAGACCGGTGATGACATCTTGGTTGCAAACAATCCCAGCCCATTTGTCGTTACATGGGGAGGTGTTTGGGTCCCAGTTGTCCAACGGATTATCCGCTGGAGAGAGAGATCTCTTGAGCTTCAAGAGAGCATCTTGTTCTTGTGACAAGGAGAGGGAGAGGTGAGGGGAGGAGGAGAAGAAGATGAGGAGGAAGAGGAACGAGGGAACAGCGGCCATTTGCAGGGCCGGAAGGGGGACAATGTGGTGTCGTCTCCACCGGATAGAAAATGAGCCGCTGTTCAATATGGGGTGGTGTTGTTGTCTGAGGGTTTGGTGTGTTTGTGATCATCAATGTAGGGTGTATGGGGGAGGAGGGGAAGGAGGAGGAGGAGGAGGAGGAGTTGGGTGTGACATGTTTAGGTGTATTGGGGGAATGGAGATTACCAGATTTTACAAGACAAAATCTAAGAATAGAGGTTGGGGACAGAAGAAAGGGGGCTGTATTTGCCTCTTGTGGGGGATTTGAGAGGGGGGAAGAGAGAGAGAGAGAGAGAGAGGTTGTGGAGGTTGTGAAACTTGCATTGACCTTGTCAGCCACTGGATGCCCTACATTTTAGGACTCCCAATTCCAAAAATTACGTACAAAAACAAACGTTATTTTCGTTCATTCCTTAAACTTGGGTAGAGTTGGTAAAGGGAGACACCATGTTTGTGTTGTTTTTTTCTAGCTGCCACCATTTCATGATTCATCACAAGTCAATGTGTGTTGTGTAAATAATACTAGACAGCCAGTAGGAGAAACTAGATTTTTCATCTAGAGTTCTTGATCACTAAATATTCGTGCTATCTGCGATAAAATGTCACGGGAACTACCTGATTCACATACTGTAATATAAACGAACGACGAGTTTATATAGTTGGTATAATATTGATAACTAATTATACACATGTTATGATATGTGTGATACTGGTTATATCATGCGATTGTGTATTTAGTATGTTTTTTAAAAAAACTTTCATTTTAAGATCAGAAATGGCAAAACGATGAATTCAATCTCTAAAGGAACTAGTAATTGTAACATAAAAACTTTTAAAAAACCAATTCAAAACCAAATAAGTAGGGAGACGTTTGGTATGTAAAATATATATTTGATCCTTATAACATGAAGACAGTATTGCGTAATGCACAGAGGCACTTAATTCCAGGTAGTTTGGTGTGTTTGCAAGCCTTCATTCCAGGAGTCCTCAAAAAGTCCTCATCAGCTTCAATACTGAGAAGTGAAAGCCTGCACACATGAATTGTTGGCAACAATTTATCAACACAACAAAAGGCATTACACCGAAAACCAAGGTCCTGAAAAATATGTTACTTTGCAGAACTGAGAACAGGTGATGAAGTTTTATCACGTTACCGAAAATACGTTGCAGTGGCCAGGATCTGCAATATGCGCCATCAAATTGTCAATGGGATCTTTCCCTGTATAAAGGGCTTGAAACAAGAACCCTACGAAAGCGAGCATCGCAAGACGCCCGTTTTTAATCTCCTTTGTTCTCAAAACCATGACAGGCTCAGGAGACCCTCTTCCCCACATCATGGGGTCAAACCAGAGCCCACCGGGGTACCCAACATCTGGTTTAGGGTTCTTTTTGTTGGGAAACTTAGGCTCAATGTCAACACTTCCAGGGTTAATTATGTCAGCCCATCTCCTTCCCTCAACCCACCCCATTAGTGCTAATTGTACCACAAACAAGGTTGTTGGGTCTGCAAAGTACTCTCTCTCACCAGCCTCAAACCATGAGAAGTTCTCTATGAACCCTAATCTTTCAAGCCACTCTGGAATTAGAATTCCAGCCACTGCCAGCATTGCCCATCTGCCATGCATCAGCTCAGCTTGTGCATTCCATTTTAGTAATTCTGGATCAGACCCTGCAAAAATTACCAAATTGGGGTTTATATATTCTATGGAAATTAAAAACTTAGACCATGTTCGTAGAAGTGTACAAATTATATAAAGTTTCACAAAATTTTTTAGAGTGCAAACACGTATTAAGTATGAACACCTACAAATCGGATAATGTAGTATATACACCACTTAAGGGATCTTGACAATGAAATTTGAAATGTTTGTATTGAGTACGTGTTCAAAAGATAGCCGACCAGACCCGTAAAATTGTTCTAAAAGTAACAAATTCTCACCTAATCCAAGGGGGTCAAAGCCAAAATCACCAGGAAGGCTACAGTTTCAACAAAGAAGTCAGAGTGAAAGCATAAATAAATAAATTAGTTTAGTTAAAATTAATTTAAACCTGCCATCAAGCCATTCAGGAGGTGAGCTGCCAGGGAACCACAATGGCCTATCTGGAGGAAGTGGCTCACATACACTTGAGACTCCTCCTTTTGTTGCATGTAAACGGGTGGCTGCGGTTGTTCTTCCCAGCAAGCATGTTGTGACTACTTTTCCAGAGGAAATTTTCCAAGGCACTTCCCTGTAAAAGATAATTCCATCCATAAGCTTACTGCTTGGATATTAATAACAAGATTAATAGTTATTAAGGGAGTGATTAATAAGGAAATTATTGTAATTACCTGGTTGGAATGCTTGAAATTGCAGAAGAGGCAATGGACAAGGCCATAGAGAGAGAGCACTCAGAGCAGTATATTTCAGTAAGTCAAATTGTGAAGAGTTTGGGAGCTTCCTCTCCTCCAGTGTTTTTCTTGTACTCCTAGCTAGGAAGATGGATAATTCATGATACAAGGACAAGAAAGAGCCAATGGGAACTCGGCACGTGTCGTCGAGATATGAGGCTCCTGTCCAAGCTTTGTAAAAACCCCGGTAAAGAGTTTGAGGTATGGATTGGATGTAGCCAGAACTGGCGTTTGGACACAGCTATGAGCTAGAAGTAGAACTACATGCAGTCAATCAACTTACCCAGTTAACCTTTTGTAAAGCCTCTTGTGCAAAAGTAACATTTTAAAGAACAATTTAGTCCCATTGTTTTGCTGAAAGATTTTTGGGTCAATTCAATTATCTCGAGCAGTGCAAATGCAGCTATATGGTCAATTGGTTAAACCAGCGTGCTCAATTTCTTACTGACATAGTTGGAAGGCAGGCAAGGCCTAGACGGTTTTTTTTTTTAATTTAATTAAATTTATTATATAATATATAAATAAATGATTACTTATAAAAAATATATATATTTGTATTATGATAAATAAATTATAAAAGAAAATGACATATAAATTATAAAGTATCAGATCATAGTAAAAACATTCGGAAGAAGCATATAATGATGTTTATTTAAGTACCCAACAAGTCTTTTACAATTTATTATAAAAAATAAAAGGTGGTGCTACCTTTTGCCGGATACATTAATTTCTTATGTATTGATCCTCTTCTTGCTTTTTACGACCACAACTTAAGCCCTTCAAAAACTTTGAACAACATCAGACTCTTAAGCTTAGAACCCTTGCTTGCTCCCTTACAATTCTATCATGTATAAAAATATAAAGAAATTGAGTTGCAGGGGTACTGACACTATATAAGATTAGAGCAAGAAAGTATTGCTTTTACTGTAAATAATTGTAAAAACTAGTAATGTAAAGAATGTTTGGCGTGATATTATAAAAAATAAAAAAATGTCTTTATGCAAACTCTAAGTGTGAAAAATAAAAAAGAACTTTGTATACGGCTAGTAGGGCGTTGTACTGTAAAAATTAAAAAAAAAAAATTGCACGCGCAGAAAAGTTTGTAAATTACTAACCCAATGGAGTATTCTATTTTTGGAAAAGTATTTGTTCTTTTTTTGTTAGAGATATGTTTTTTATTGTATTTTTTGGATGTTATCCTTTTTTTTTATTTGCATTTGTTCAATACAATTTCATGTACAGACTGTACCGTTATATATTTACCAGTTTGTCCTTGTTTTTTGAAACTTTTTGAATTTGATTGTGAAGAAAATAAAGAGACATGTTTGGCATTATTGAATGATTCACTTTTTTATCCCACCCACCATACAAATATAGATAGGGATGGCAATGGTTCGGTTTGGGGATGAAAATGTCATAGTATCCCTATACTCACGAAAATTAACCATATCTATAACTGCAAATTAACTATCAAGGATTATCCATAACCATACCCACCAGGTAACGAATTTTTCATCAGTTAACGGTTATATCCATCTTCATCAATAAAAAAATTATCCGTTCAACTTACACATAATAATTTAATAGATATTAATTCTGTCATTAAATATCCACATCCAAACATAAAAAACATAACAATACTTTATGGAGACGTTTATGATAAGCCAAATATGATAGCAAATTAAGGCAAATTGGTGGAATGAAAAAAAAATTACAAAAGCAAATAAAATCATCACTATGGAAGAAAGACAAAACAAATTATCAAATAATTTAAATATTTGTAAATATGGCTACATATTATCTATCTATCGATCTATTATATGTGTGTGTGTGTGTGTGTGTGTGTGTATTATATAAAGAGAATGGAAAATGTGAATAGTGTTTTGGTGTCATCATGCTTCAACAAAAATATTTGAACAAAAATGTCCTTAAGACAAAAAACTTCAAAGGCAGTCCAAAATAATGCATAAATAAGACAAGGACATTTTTGTCATTTTAATAGTATTTTTTTAATAATTAATTTTTTTGGTGGTTTGTTTGTTTGTTTTTTTGTTTTTGTTTATAATTAATTGTCACATCACAGGCTCGACTTCGTTGTAGCACGATATTGTCCGTTTTGGGCCTTGACCACGCCCTCACGGTTTTGTTTTTGGGAACTTACATGAGAACTTCCCAGTGGGTCATCCATCCTGGGATTGCTCTCGCGCGAACCTACTTAACAGTGAGCTCCTAAATGACCTCGTGCTAGGTAGTGATGAGAATATACATATAAGGGTTACAGGATCCACTCCCCTGGGCAATGTGGGATCTAACAATCCACCCCACTTAGAGGCCCGACGTCCTTGTCGGCACACTTCCAGCCAGAGATTGGCACTGGGAAGTTATCGTGTAAGTTCCTAGAAACAAAATCGTGAGGGTGTGGTCAGGGCCCAAAGCAGACAATATCGTGCTACGGCAGAGTTGAGTCTGGGATGTGACATTAGTACCTCATAATAGGCTAGCAATAATGTGATTCAATTTCTCTATTTTTAAACAAGTTTAAAACATCTTAAGAGGCGTGTAATTCCGATTATAAAAAAGGTCATTCGCACACAGATAATAATGTGATTTAGTTGTTGAATGATTGTTTTTTTTTTTAACAAACAATATTATCTACACTAAGGGGGATGGAGAGGGGATTGGGCTTACCCTCACAATGGGTTAAAAATAATGTGATTTAATCAGTTGTTTATTAAATATTATTTTCTCTATTTTAAACATATTCAAAACATTTTAAGAGGCATGTAATGCCGGTTATAAAAAAAAAGTATTTCGCACACGGATAATAATATGATTAAATTAGTTGTCAAATGATTTTTTTTAGCAAATGATATTATCTACACTAAGGGAGAGGGGGTGGGCTTAACCTCACAATGAGCTAGAAATGATGTGATGCAATCAGTTGTTTATTAAATATTATTTTCTCTATTTTTAAACACGTTCAAAACATCTTAAGAGGCGTGTAATGCCGATTATAAAAAAGGTCTTTCACACGCAGATAATAATGTGATTAAATTAGTTGTCAAATGATTGTTTTTTTTTTTAAAAAAAACAAATGATATTATATACACTAAGGGGGAGGGGGTGGGCTTAGCCTCACAATGAGCTAGCAATAATGTGATTAAATCAATTGTTTATTAAATATTATTTTCTCTATTCTTAATGTAAATTCTATAGAGATCGATTTTATTATATGAATTCAGTTGTTTTAATTGATTTATTAGGGGTTTCTTCTAGTATAATCTAAGATTATTCATTTACTTTAAATATTTGATTTTCCTTTTGTCAATTTATGCATATTTTACATTTAAAACGGGTAAGTCGCATGTAGCATGCCGTAATTCAAAAAATGCATTATGCACGCACGTGAGCGCGTGCATGAAGGCTAGTATTATATTATATAGATAAACACCATGAACCATTCGCATCCGTCACCGTTCTACACTTCAAAAATCTTCCAATCTTTTGTCCAACGGTCTTGGCTGAGCTCACAATTGTAGAATCTGCATATCAACAACAGTAAAATCAGCTTCCATGACAAAATACCAGAATGTCAAGACCAGCCCATTCTTCTATAGATTTAGGAATTTCATCCTTGGATGTTAGAGTATTGAGCAAAAATTTTAATTTTCTCCAACATCTCAGTATAATAACGAATAAAATGTAGCCTAAATAATTCAAATCCGATATGAAAAAAGGATCACTACCTCTCAGTTCCTATGCTTTGATATTGCAATGAAATATACTGAAGATAATTCATCGTTTCATACTTTTATTGTTCAACCATGCTTATAAATTTTACTTTCGTGAATTATACATCACATATTCATGCTAAGAAATATCTGCACAAGTATTTTGTGATCAAAGAGCAAAAGAAAAAGAACCTTATGCAACAACTCAACTATTTTTGTATATATAATTGTGAATTTGACACCCACCCTTTAACCAGTTGAGTGTGTTAGGTAATGTAGGTCATCCATAGGGACCAAGTAGTCATATGAATATTGTAAACCTGCCACCAGTCGACTTCTTGATGTATATACTTCTGCAATGTTATTACTTCACATTGCAGCAAAAGAGACAGTTGATTTGTGCAGGCTAGAATAATGAGTTTTTAGACTAAGAAAATCATGTTTCAACTCTAAATTAATATACAAGTTTGATTGATTATCTATTACAATGAATTTAGAAAAATTAAATGCGACACTGTCGGGAAATTTCTCGTTGTCCTGCCATATAGTGTTCTCAGTCTCGCTTATGTTATAATACGGTGTTTTATTTATTAATATATTTCTTAGACCTTTGAAATATCAATTTATCGTCTATTATATCATAACACGTGGATTTATAATAAACGTGCTAATTTGATCTTATTATTAAAAAAATTTCCTATACAAAACGATTTGATAAACACTACCACATGGTGATGTCGGTTCATTCATGCTATAAAATATATAATACATTTCGTAACATTACACCTAAAATATACAAATGACCAAAAAAAGTCTTACTTAACTAACACATTTTTTAAGATTACCTGAACTTTCGTCTCTGTGCTAATTGTTGACCTAAACTAACCACAACATATTTCCAGTATGTGGATTTGGCAACTGAATACTTGCGTAAGAGATTTTAAATGGACTCAGAAATATGGGATATCCTGAATATTTGAACCGTTAGATTTTTAGTAAAAAAAAAAAAAAAACAAAATCACAATCCAACGGTTAATAACTCATAATTATTGTGTATTTCGGAGCACAATAAAATTTTTGCGTTAGCAAAATAAATAATCAGAATTTCTGGCACACGTGGCCTCACCTGATGGAAGCAGCATGAAACTTTTCATGAGATCAACTGTTCAATTGTCACTTGTGTCACTGCCAAAGTTCTAAACTTTGTTTTCTGGTTTGCCGAGAGCAACAACCTTCCCTTGAATTGCACTCAAACTTGCCCATTTCACAAACCACATCCATCACTCTCAATCTCCACCAAGACTTGGCATCTCCACCCAATTGGGTCCAATCCATTCCCTTCAACCAAACACAACCAAATCCCAGAAATCCCATGTCCTCAAAAATCAAGCTCACCCATTTCCCCAACCTCCAATCCCCACCTCCCCTCGATCTTCTGAGCCGAATCGCCGGAACCCAGTAGCCCATTTCTCAGAAAGATCACTGCTTTTGGGTGGTTGCAGAGTCGTGCTGACCATGTTGGAGGCCTTGCCGCTAGGACGGTTCCACCACCAGAGGCTTGACCTGAAGCGGTGGTTCCCCACCTTCTTGTCCTCCCACAAAACCCTCTTCACCGTGCTCTGGATCGCCGCTTTCGCCTCGGTTTTCGTGTGGCAGAGGAACATTGTAGATGGGTTTTCGATATTCAGGCGAGCTCCGGCGAGGGCGATGCCGAAGCTGAGGCCGGTGGCTTTCAATTTGACGGAATTTGGGGCTGTGGGCGATGGGGTTACTTTGAACACTGAGGCGTTTGAGAAGGCGGTGCTGGCTATTTCTAAGCTGGGGAAGAAGGGCGGTGGGCAGCTCAATGTGCCTCCGGGACGGTGGCTAACGGCGCCGTTTAACCTCACTAGTCACATGACTCTGTTTCTTGCTGAAGATGCTGAGATACTTGGAATTCAGGTAAATCTTTTGTTTTTTGGTCAATCTGGTATCTGTATTTCTTTCTGCTTTCGTTTCGAAATGTGAAAACTTGCCTTGAATTTGCATCCATTTCGTGTCGAAATGTGAAAACTTTCCACTGTAATTTATTTGTTTTCTGTGAATCAGGTGATTTTTTGGTATCCTTCATTTGCTTTCATATTTGTATTTTAGTTCTCTTTATTTATTTGGTGTTGCGTAGTTTGGAATTAATGGTGATTATATCATGATTGTGGTTACTTTGTTCTGTAAGGTGTAAAGGTATGGCTTTCGAGATATTTTCATTAGAGTAAGATCTAATTTACTAAGTTTCAAAAGAGAAATCTCAGTCACAAGGACATGTAAAGTTCATTACCCGTAAATTTCATTTGGTTTTTGTTACAAATGGAACAGGAGTTGCTTACTTGCAATGTAGGACTTGTAATTTGATAATAATAAAAGAAGGACGTCTGTTTATTGAGAGATGCCTAGGACTGGTTTGATGTTTGTCAACAAAAGTAAGCTTCGAACTTCAGTAGGTGGTGCTAGCAAGCTTCAAACTTAATTTGACCTACCACCATTTGTTTTACTTCGAATTAAAACATGGAGAGATCCTGCTATAGATTTGTAAATATTATGCTAGCAAAGTCTTTTGAGCGTTATGATTTTCTTGTCCTGTAGCAGCCTAGTAATGCTCATATATGATGGTAACTGTTACATCCCAGACTAAATCATCAGTTAATTATGTTATGATTGAGTTCGGGAATAACATGAACCCAATAGGTAAATACCTCAGAAACTTTCCTTTTGCTCATTTAATTGGCATTGACTTGCATATAGTATTCATGAATGTTAGATGTATTCTGGAATATCTTGTTCTTTTAGATAGTTGTTGTGAAAAACCTGTATTCTTGTTCTGAAGAATGAGCCCTGCATATGGCTTTTCCAGATTTGTAGGAAGTGTTAACTTATCACAGGGGATTGAAACTAGAAAACAATTGATGCACATACTTATTTATGATATGCCTGACTGCTTAACCCACTACCTCGAGCTATTGCGGTGTTACCTTAGATGAAAATTTTACTTGGAAAGACTTGAGCAGTGCAGGGCCCCACCATTTAAATACTGTACTTTTGAGCAGTTTCAATATAACCCACATATCCCATGTAAAGTTTATTCTAAACCTTTCATGAGGTGGAACAAATCAGTGAAACAATCTATCATTTTTGCCCACAAAATACACATACTGCCACGGTTTTACTAATTTGATCCTTCTATAGTGATTCTCTCTCTTCCCCCCCCCCTCCCTCTCTTCCACGCACACACAATGATTTCTGATGCTGCATACTCTTATGATTATCTCTCTCTCTCTCTAGCATGCACGCACACATCACTTTAGCTATTTCTGATGCCGTATACTTTTATGTGCATGACAGGATGAGAAGTATTGGACCTTGATGCCACCGTTGCCTTCGTACGGGTATGGGAGAGAGCATCATGGGCCTCGGTATGGAAGTCTGATTCATGGTCAAAATCTTAAAGATATTGTTATAACAGGTTAGATATTTCATCCCTTTCATATTTAAGTTATATTTTTATTTCATAACAATTGTGTTTAACTGGAAGGTCACGGTTCATAACATAACAACGTGACATTATAAAGGCAAATAGGGTTTCCTGTGGTTGTTGTAGCCTTTGGCCACGAATATTATTTGTTGACATTATACTGGTGTTAAAAATCCAATAAAGGTTAGACGAATTAGCATCTTAGCAATATTTTGATAGTGGATGATGTATCCCATTTAAATTTTGACCTTAGGTCTTAAGTTGAATCGGGGTGATCTTGACATTATATATGGCATAGACAATGAAAGAGATGAAAAATGATTGTCTATAAAGCAAATGGATTGATAAAACTTATAAAAGCATCTTAGTCTATCATGATAAAATACCAGAGGCAGGTATTTTGACTTAAAGAAAATACTCTGTCAGAGAAGGTCCCTTAACTTGCCTTTGTTTCATTTCTCTTCATTCACTTGGCTATTATGTATCCTAGGGAAGTTCATGATCCTAACATGTCCAATATATGAGGCCTAGAAAATCTTTCTTTCTAGCTATCATTTTTGCCATGGATACTTCACCAAATCATCTTACTACACTAGTAGGATGTTGTGGTTGGTTTTAAAATTTGCTTATTCTTTATGTCAATCAAGAGCTCCTGTGGACATTTTTATCGTAGAATCCAAGCTGTAAATTTGTCTTCTTTCTTAATGTTCAATTTCTGGTTTGTTCTAATTATATTTATGTATTCACTGACCAACAGGGCATAATGGTACCATAAATGGACAGGGTCAAACATGGTGGAAGAAGTACCGCCAGAAGCTTCTCAACAACACTCGGGGTCCACTTGTTCAGATTATGTGGTCTAGCGACATTTTGATCAGTAATATAACATTGCGTGATTCTCCTTTTTGGACACTTCATCCATATGACTGCAAGAACATTACTGTTAGAAATGTTACAATTTTGGCTCCCGTACTTGAAGCTCCAAATACTGATGGAATAGATCCTGGTAAGTGGATCCTGCTAGAGGGGGCTTCTTCCCCCCACATTATGTTTGATAGCGCTATTTATTTTGAATGGATTGCCGTTCTCTTTATTCAGGCATGCTTTGGATGAGCTTATAAATATGTAAATGCACCACTTAATACAAAGAAGATATTGTGCGAAGCAAAAGGCATAAATTGAAAAGTGTATTGTGCAGTTAATGTTTAAGAAAGGCGTTCAGTAATGTGAATTCATACGTTTTGTGTTTTTGCGGATCAGTTATCCAGTTGTGTTAATGAACAGGGATTAGTCAATTGTGTTTTTTTAGGGATGATGACTGAAAAAGGATTGCCTTGCTATTTGATTTTGCTTAGTCTGGATGTCGCATGGATTTCTTGAGTAAGGAAATCAGGTCACTTGGAGAAAAAAAAAAATCTATGATTTTCTTGTATGCCTTCATTCTGGTAACACTTCACACCATCCCACCAAAAAAGGCGCAAGTGCGTGCATGTTGCACACATGAGAAAGAGAGAGAAGACAAAATCACTTAATTTCTTGTATGCCTTCAATTTCGAATGGTACTGCATGCTCCTGCACCCCAGTTCACACCCAAGTAAAAGAAGTTAATACGATTAAGAATGTCAGCTATAGATAATTTGAGCTATAGATTGTTGGTTTGCTCTTGTAATTTTAGTGGTATGTTTCATTCTTGTTTGCTATCAAATCAATATGGAATAACTTTGATTTTTTTGGTATAAACAGATTCATGTGAGGATATGGTGATTGAGGACTGCTACATTAGTGTAGGGGATGATGGGATTGCAATAAAGAGTGGCTGGGATCAGTATGGTATTTCTTATGGACGGCCATCGAAGAATATACTCATTAGAAATCTTGTTGTCCGCTCTATGGTCAGGTAATCTTATGCTTCTAGCAGCCTATCATTACATTCTTGTTGCCATCTTTAAGTCAAAAAGCGTACTTCATGACTGTATATCCTGGCATCATGTTATTCTTTCATCATTACTATTGGGGAGTGTCATTCACGCTCCGTTGTAGGGTATGCACTTACCCTTATACACTAGAGTGGGGGAGGGCAACAGGTAATGAGAATAGCACTCCTCTTAAGATTCCCCAATACTTGTGTCCGGGCGTTCCTGCACTCTAGCTCCAATTATTCTTTTTGTTTGGAATATGGTCTTCGTTTGAGAGCAGAAGGTAATTCACAGTTGATCTGAGTATATCTTGCCATGTCGACCCAAAAATTACAAAACAACAAAATCAAAAGAAAATAATAAAAAAGAATAGGCGAAGATACTAAGGAGAATTGCGAGTCCTTAAAGCTTCTGAATGGGAAGTGAGGAATGATCAGTTCATCAATGTTGAGTAGAAAACTGTTTGGATTTACCTGTACGGATTTTGAGCCCCCATTCTGGATGCCATCCGGCAGTAAATATACTAGTAAGGTTAACCTTTCATATGCGTGTGTCGAGTGTAGGCTTCACTCATCTGTTAGTTAACTGATGCCCTGGTAGTTACTACCCCTTTACTTGTCAGTATGTATAGATATTGTGGCTCTTGGAAGTAGCTCAAACTTACCCTTGGCTGTCATGCAACAGTGCTGGCGTATCAATTGGCAGTGAGATGTCTGGTGGGGTTTCGAATGTCACTGTGGAGAACCTGCTTGTGTGGAGCTCAAGGCGTGCTGTTCGGATCAAGACTGCCCCTGGAAGAGGTGGATATGTGCGACAAATAACCTATAGGAATCTGACATTTGACAATGTTCGAGTTGGAATTGTTATCAAGACAGACTACAACGAGCACCCCGATGAGGGGTATGATCGAAAGGCTCTTCCAGTGCTTGAGGACATAAGCTTCACAAGCGTCCATGGACAGGGAGTTCGTGTGCCTGTCCGTATCCATGGGAGTGAAGAGATTCCAGTGAGAAATGTGACTTTCCGGGACATGTCCGTTGGGCTAACGTACAAAAAGAAGCACATTTTCCAATGTGCCTTTGTTCAAGGTCGTGTGATAGGGACCATCTTCCCTGCCCCATGCGAGAATCTTGACAAGTACGACGAGCAAGGAAAGCTGGTGAATCACTCTGCATCCCAGAACATGACAGACATAGATTATGATTTTTGAGGTGAGAGGTTTTCCGTTTCAATGGCTCAGATTTTTGGAGGTCAACAATTTGCAACGTCTGTTTAAGAAGCAACTTGGAAGGATGAAGATCGACGGAGCGTTTTATGTTAATTTTTGTTTTCTTGTTTGTGTTTCTGCTGTTCCCACCACGTCGTTTTTTTATTAAACGTAGTTGTATATACCGAAAAATTTTCAGTTCATGGAAAGAAAAGGGGGCATAGTTTGATGTTGTACACTAATCACCTTTGCTTGCAATTGCGTAATGCATGTGTTTTATGTGTATAGACGTCCAAGAGATCGCTTAACCATATCAAATTCCTTTCAAGTAGTCGAGATTTGGTACTCCGTCCCGTTTCACGGAAAGAAAAATAAACTCAAGTGGAACCGGCGTGAAGTGGGACTTGAACATAATCTTAGAGGGTAAGTTGGATCAAAATGTCTTCTAGATAGCAACGTCAGACACGAAAACATGATTTAAAGAGCGAGTTGGGTCAAAATGACTTACAGTGGGCAATGTAGGAACGAAAGCATGATATTAAGGGAGAGTTTGGTCAAAAATGACTTAAAATGAGCAATGTGGAAAATAAAAACATGATTAATGAGTAATGCACTGATTAAAATTTAAACAAAAACGTGAAAAGTAACTCCTAGCCTCCTAGGTGTGGTCTAGTGGAAAGCAAGCGGTAGTTGAACCCTCAAGGTGAGTTCGAACCTCCACAGATGCATTCTTTGGTCCTTTTAAACGATTTCCAAACCAAATTTGATTTGAAATTCTTTCAGTTGTTTTGATAGAAACCTTGACTGTTTATTAATTAATTGTTAGTTTTCTTGAAGCAAATTAACTGTGTGAGTACCAAGTATCATATTCGTTATGGATTGTCCATTTATTTGATACATTTAGATAATTAAACGATCTTCGATTAGAGTAATTTTTTTGTAAGAATGATCTTCAAATGAAGATTAAAAAATTGAACGATTCTGATTATAGAGTTTATACGATGAAGATGTGTTAATTGCAAGGCTAGAATATATGCATTCCTCCACAGGGAACACAAAAAAATGAGTAGTTGAGAAAAGGGAGTGATTGGGTTGTTATCAAAATTCTTGCATTATTGATCCACCCACGTTCTAAACCATACTATATAAACTTTATATTATAAAGTGAAGAAAGTTGATGTTTACACACTCAAGGGGAAGTGTTGGACAATACAAATTGGATGACGTGGAGCACGTGTGGCCATCCTCTAATACTATGGAAAAAAGTTAAAGTTTTACTATAAAACCAATTGACAATACAGAAACCAACTCAAACCTCCTACTAACACATACAAAATCTTTTATTTTATCATGTGAAATTCACGCTCAACACAAAGATTATCATCTGCTAGACTGCTATAGTCTATATAACATGTGCGCATCCTAATTGCCTCCAACAAACTTATTTTTCAAGTGGATCACACAAAGATTATCATCTGCTATAGTCTATATAACATTATAACATGTGCATCCTAATTATAGCAGGATAGACTGCAAGAGATGTTTTATTTTTTTTTATAGTATGAGAAAAATAATTGGACCAACCACGTTCAGAATTAGAAATAATCGATAAACTATCGTCCTCTCAAGATATAAAATTATAAATATAGCATTAATAATTGCAATTTGCATGCACCATGACAAAAGCTAAAAAAGCCATCACCAATGCCTCCAACAAACTTATTTTTCAAGTGGATCATACACCAACGCAAGTGGATTGAATTTATCGACTCCATGTATATTATTCTTAACATTCATTATATATTTGGTGCCACATTGTGACATGCATGTAGGAAAACATAGCTCTCTTTAGTCTGGTTTACGTGAAAACATTTATCATTCTTGCTGGTTCTGTGGTTTATCCAGTATTGATACCGTGTGGGGAATCGTCCAAGGATCACACTCTAGTAGCAAATCGAGGAAATATTATTTAGGAAGTCAAAAAGAATAGCGTGCAGTGCGTAAATTTTTTTGGATGGAATAGTATCTAAATTGGTATTTTATGGAGCTTTGGCAGGCTTGAGTTCAGTGGCGGAGCTATGATTTCAGATTAAGAGGGGCCTCTCAAAAATGTAAAAAAAAAAATGCTGCAACACCGCCAACAACACTAGCCATAAATGTGACATCCCACATCGCCCAAGGGAGTGATCCTTATATGTGTATTCTCATCCCTACTTAGCACGAGGCCTTTTGGGAGCTCACTGGCTTGGGGTTCTATGGGAACTCCGAAGTTAAGCGAGTAGTGCGCGAGAGCATTCCCAGGATGGGTGACCCATCGGGAAGTTCTCAGAAACAAAACCGTGAGGGTGTGGTCGGGGCCCAAAGCGGATAATATCGTGCTACGGTGGTGGAGCGGGCCCGGGAAGTGGTCCCCCCTGGTCGGGATGGGACAATAAAACAATGTTGCAGCATGCTCGCAAAATCCCTCTCTCACGCTCACGAATCCATCTCTTAGCCATCGTCTCACGCATTGTCTGGTCATCGTCTCATCCATTGTTTGGTGATCGTCTCGGCCACTACTTTGCTGCTCTAAATTTGTGGTCCGATTATGATGTTTGTTTGCTCGATGACAATGGTGTTGATTTTTCAATTTCTTTCCATTCATCAATATGTTTTGACCAGTTGGGAGCCGTGTTAATTGGCGGAGAAAACAATCTAATAGAAAAGGCTAACGAGAACACAAAAATCGCACATGGATGAAAGCATAATTAAAGTTTGTCAACAACCACCATTACCATGTGAAAAAGATTAAACTCTAGGAAAACCAACTTTCTCACCTACCCTCTCTCTCCCTTTGGTTGGGGCTCTAGTCCCTTAAAATTCTTAGAAAACTAGAAGGATAACACTAGTTTTTTCTCTGTGAAAAAAAATGTCAAGTTAGGCCAGGGACCATTCTGGTCCTTCCATGGCTTCGTCCCTGCCTGAGTTCATTAGACAAGTCCTATTGCACGTCTATCGTTAGATGTCAACAACTTTTGAGCATGTTGACTGATGTCAATAGTTTTTGAGTGAGTATGCCGACAGATATCAACACATGCCTAGTGAGCCTATCAATAGAGCCAATGGCATACAAAAGCATGAAGCTAGCAGCTATCCTGCCTAGTGGCGTAAAGGCAATTCATCAAGCAGTTAGAGGGCATCTTAGATTTTCCAAAGGCAGCACCCCTCCCTTCCATGGAGGATTTCTATGCTTGGAGGGTCATGTGACCCACCTTGCCCCAAGGTGAATCCGTCCCTGTACACTCTCCTATATATTGTTAAGACTAAAAATCATGCTACCATCAGTCGTCCACACCCGTTTAAATATTTTCTTATTGCTCACGAATGTAAGAGGCTCGCATCTTATCACTGATTAGAAACTATTTGTTTACACACACACACACACACACACACACGCATCTAAGCATCGTTGCCACAAACTTTCCATTCAACTGCATGTGAGATTCCATCGAATTCATGCTAGTAGCTACTAGCTAGTACATGATAATCACCTGCACCGCCCCTAAGTTATGGTTCCTATTTATGGACCACTGTTAGTCTATTTCTACATAATTGGCCGTCAGACGTGGACATCTAACGTCTCATCCCTTCTGTTTGGGGTCACAAACCATAACGTTGGCTAATGGTGGTCCTCAACCTATGTTCTTTAACGTTTTTTTTTTTTTTTCCCTCTAAAAGATATTTAGGTAGACGATGAATATGAGAATGATTTCTCCTTCGAATTGTCACTTGTGCACATGGATGAGTTATCAAATTATTAAGACATCACATATTCATACATTTGTAAGGTTTATTACAGAATGAAACACATTAACGCTTAACTGTTGTTCACGTATCATGCAATGGTGGATCTAGAATTTGAACTTTGGGGGACCTAGTGTTAAATACAAGTTTTTTTAGATAAGAACAGAGTGCGAAGCACGCAAAATAAATTAGTTTATTCACTTGGTGGACTTGTTGTGCAATTGTCAACAAATATCCGCAAATGTTGAAGCAATCTGATGAGTAATATAGAGAGAATTTGTCAAGTGTTGTTGATACACCATGCTGAGTGTTGTCGACGTATCATATCGAGATATGCCTAGCATGCATATAAAGCATTCAAGCATTTAATAGGCACAAAAGAGACTCATACCAAACATTCGGAGGGTCCTCAAAAGATATTCACATGTATATTTTCTAAACTTAGGTGGTCCTGAGACCACCTTGATCCCTACTTCCATCCGGCCCTGATGTCATGTCTACAATTACATTGAGGTTATAGTTTTCGTTACATTATTTGTAATTTAAATACTACTAAACATTAAACCTAAAACAATTTAGAATTTCTATCATGTGTCACTAGTTATCAAATTTGGTCTACGTCATCTATTACCTGAATTGAACACCACAAAAATTAATTCTCTTCGTATAAAGGCTTGGTTGAGAAGTACGTACGTATGAAAAAAATCTTGAGCATGGATTCTCCATGCATGCGTTTGCTCACAAGAAAATAAAATTAAAAATAGGTTTAGGTAGGACATGTTCAAGCACTCCACAAAAATAAGCTTAGAGATTATATTTTCAGATCAAATGATGTGATTATTGATGGTTTTTTTTTTTTGTTTTTTTTTTTCAAATCAAAGGATGTGATTATTGATGGTTTAATTTTTTTTTCAATTATTTAAAAATAAAAATTTAATCATCAACTGCCACATCATATGATCTACAAAATATAATTTAACTAGATGGTCTTTATAGTATCATCCATAACATATTTGTTAATCATTTTTTAGCATAAGACGTGATTGACTTCAGGTAGCATACATCACTGCACAAGTGCATGCATGAATATTACGTGTTAGACCATCATCAATGGAGATGTCAAATTAAAATGTTAAATTTGATTTTTATATTTGATGTGGCAAAATAACATGTTGTAAAGTCTCTTAATACCAATCGAGATGTCAAATATAAATTTTTTGGGTTATTTATAAAATCAACCAAGTTAGAATTTAATAATAAATTAATTAATAAGCGAAGAAAAATATAGAAATATGTGGGCCCAACATTAAAATAAAACAAAAGAAATTTTGACGTTGCTTTCAAAATTAGCAGCAAAGTGGAGAATGTCAATTCATGCAAGATTTTGACATTCTTTTAGAACAAGAACACCATTCTTTTTTATCAAAATAGTTCAGTAAGATTTTAACATCTTATTTGGAAATGCTCTTAGATGCTACTTAAAAGAGGATCAATAGTCATAG